GTATCTAAATATATATAAAATCTGAAATTTTACCTACATACAATTACATATTACATACAAATTACATACAATTTTTCAAAAAAAGGGAAATGGGGTGATTTCATAGTACAATTTCACTTATTTAGATATTATTTTTGAAAATATCATTCTGGTACGAAGCATCATTAATAAGTCAAATTCTTAAAAAAAGCAAAATGCATTGAGTAGTTTTGAAGATATATGTTCTTGAAAGTCAGTGGACGGCGGCGGGCAGGGTTACACCTTCCGTTGTCAAATATTTGCACACACGCGCGCGCACGCACGCACACACCGCATTCACACACACACGGGCATGCGCAGGCACAATCACACGCGCACCCACGCACACACATACACGCACACGCACACACACACGCATACATACATACACACGCATACGCACACGCACACGCACACGCACACACACATACACACAACTGAAGCCGTCTCTCGTTGGGGTTTGTCTTAATTTTTCGCTTCACAGCTGTGCGCGGCAGTGATTGGCTGTTTATACACCGCAGCCGCAATGTCTTTGGTGTGTGCATGTGTGCGCGTGCCGGTGTGCGTTCGTGCGTTCGTGCGTGCGTGTGTTTAGTGTGACTTGCTATGCTAGGTGAAGGCGCCACCTAATTAAATGCTTATTATTATACCTTTAATCTACATTTAGTATAGCTATATTATCATTAAAACCCGTGAGAAAACACATTAATAGTTTCACACCATTTTAAAAGGTTATGGTATATATAGTGTGGTGTGTGTGTGCTCTTAGACAATCGAAACGGCGTCTAAAATTGTCAGAGCATTGGGAGCCGGGTAAGCGCGGGCACGGTTACACCTCCCGTTGTCAAATGTTTGCACACGCGCGCACGCACGCACACACCGTATTCACACACATATACGGGCATGCGCACGCACAATCACACGCGCACCCACGCACACTCATACCACATTTACACACACACGGGCGCGCACACACATACACGCACACGCACACGCACACGCACACGCACACGCACACGCACACGGAACAAACAACAACACACACACAACCACAACAACACACACACACACACACAACACTA